CCAGAACTGCCTAACACCACATTTTAAGAGCACGGTAACTCCATCCTCTTCAGAGCTGGGGAGGACAATTAGGTGCAGAAAGGTCATCAGCCAACACATCTCTGCTAACCTCGGTTTCACGGTCCTGGCTTTATTCTGCTTTGGTAAGTCCCGAACATTCATGTTCTTGTTTGCTTTCCGAGCTGCTGTCGCAGTGTCAGGAGCAAACCCTTTTTTGTGAACCATCTTTGGGCCCTGTGACACAATCAGGACGAAACTGAAATAGATGTTTCTTGCACTGAACAGTAAATTCAAAGATTTTCTGCGGGTGTCCCTAATTGGCTAGAGAAAGAATTGGTATGTGGACACGTAGCCAGCCTTAGTGTCCAACGGGCTGGAAAGAACTGTCTCCCTCCGTGCTTTGAGCTTTTCCACTGGCCCAGTGCCCCAGAAGCCTTCTCTGCACGTGGCAGATGGGAGCTGCAGCAGGTCCATGCCACGCGTCAGGGTCCCTTTGGAGCCGCAGGGACAGGCGCTGCAGCGAGTGCTCTCCGTGGGCCCTGGCGGTGTCCTGGGTGCCAGTGGTGGCACCGGTGCCCTGCGGTGTTGGCACGGCCCCTGGAGAGCGGCCAGGCACTTCTCCCCAGCCTGGCCACAAACCCACAGACACTCCTGTTTTTATTTGCCAACTGCGTCAGCAGAGCGCATTGTTCTTTCCCTGTAGCGGTGACGGTATAATAAATGCTGCATAAATGTTTTTGTTTTCAAACGGTACCCTGGGGCACGAGGGGCTGGCCATTGCCATCAGCAGGAGTGGGGCCCTGAGATCGAGGTTAGCATGGAGTTAAGATGAATAAGCACAAGTTCTGTATTTTTCAGGATCTGCCTGAGTCACCACCTTCTATATTCCCTTGATTCTCAGCAGGGCAGCTTGATGTGGTTTAGTCTTGTGTGTGTGTGTGTGTGTGTGTGCAGGGAGGGAAACGGTGGGCAGGTCTGGTCCTGGGATCAGTGGGCTCAGGGCACCTGCAGAACCCAGGTTATGAGGACTTTGAAGGGTTTTCAAGGTCCTTATGTTTTGAAAGCGGCTCCATGTTGTAGAGGTTAAACATAGAAGTGATGCTGGTGGGTGAGAGCCAGGTGCTGGCTGGTACCCACCTCTGGTGAATTTTCAAAAGCTTCTGCCTTTTGTCTTTTGCATCCTCCATCTGGAAGGATGTCCTGTGTGTTTCACTCTGCAGGTCATCCTGCTGCTGCAATAGGTTTCTGTGGTTTATTGCAAATAGCTGATGTTCACATTTTAATGTATTGGGGTTTTTTTTTCAAACAGCCTTCATTGTGTGGTTGAAATGTTAAAGTAATTAGTATGCTGATAAAACACTACTAGAAGCTCATAATACTCAAATATTGAGATTTGTTTGTTGGATTCAAATAGGACCTAAATTCCTGCTCTCCCACAGTTTTATATATGTTCACGATCTATAATTCACGCTCATGGCCCTCCATGTCATTATTTCACATGGAATGAAAAAGAATAAACCCGTTTGTGTCTGTCTGAAATATTTTGCTCTGGAGTTCTGCCTTGGCAGAAGCAAAATGTAAAATAATGCAGCCGTGGAGGGGTGGGTCAAATTGCCGTACGTATCAAAAGAGGAGCTTTTGATCAGCTCCTTGGAGGGTCTGGTGTAACTCCATTTATCTGCAGATCTCAGGGGATGCCCCAAGCCCCCAGATAACCGGGGGTTTGGTTAATCAGGGCAGCCAGCTGTCCAGCTTTCCGCCGGGGTAGGGTTCAAGCTCACAGCCCGCCCTCTGCAGCCAGGCCTGCCGCAGCAGTGCATTTGTGTGCTCCCTGCAGCGCTCCAGCCCTGAGGCTGCTCCAGGAAAGCCAGCCAGGCACTCAGAGCTCCCTCCCAGCCCTGCTCAGAGCTGGGGCGTTGCTGATCCACGCTTGCATTTTTAAACCAGTAGTTTATGTGGCACGTCTAAATTCTGCTCGGTGTTGGGGGCACCTTGGTGTCAGGTGGGCTCTGCCCAAAGCTCACAGGAGAGCCGTGACACAAAGGTCAGGTTAAAGAGGTTTGGTGTGAGGTTCTGATGTGTGCCATTTCGCGGTTGGCTCTTTAGGCTGAAGGCACAGCACATTTTTCCATCATGGGGCAGCTCTGACAGAAGTATTGCTCCAGGGATTTTCGGGACAGCCGCCTTCCTACAGGGCAATAAATAGAAAACTTTGTGATGCTTTTTTTACAGGATGGAGGTGTTTTTTGCAGGGTTCTTTTCCAGATCGTTCACCGTGCCTCCACACTGAGATTCCTAGACTCCGGCAAAATTTTACTTGACTTTTTCTTTTTTTAATGAAACCCAACTGTTCTCCCAAATGTGCATATGTACTGAGACAGAGATAGCAGGGAGTTTGATTTCACTTTGCTGGAGTCACTCAGTTCTGGTTTGATTAAGCTGTGCGTACAAACGAGCTCGCTGTCCCCATGGCAGGAGCAGGAGCTGCTGTGTGTCCCCGCTGCTCGGGGAGCACCGAGCCGAGCTGGCTGCTGACGGGAGCCGGGGTGTGCAGCACCGGCCTGGCTGGGCTGGGCTCTTCCTGCGCGATCTGCGGGGCTCTCCAGACCTCGCACTGTTCTTCCTCGGCTGCCTGTCCTGTCGCTGCTCAGCTGCTTGTCCGGGCGGGTTTTCCCGGTGTTTTGTGTGCTGAGCGGCATCCTCCGGCTCGTCAGCAGGGTTTTACCGGGGGCAGAGCAAAGCCGGGCGGCGTTTCCGTGAGCTGTCCGGAGCCGCTCGGGACCCAGCAGGGCATTATCGGGCAAGCCTGAAAAGCCTTTGCTCGTCCCCCGGGCCTGGGTGGAAGGCCAGGAGCAGGCGGGGCCGGGGCCGGGCGGTGAATGGAGCGCTGCCGGCCGGCCCGCAGGCTCAGGTGCTCGGCAGCCCCCGGTGTCACCGAGCCCTTTGAGCGATTTGTCACGGCCGGGGCCGCTCCCGCTGCGGCAGCACGTGCCGGCTCCAGACGGGATCAGCCCCGGCAGCCCCCGGGAGCCCCGGCAGCTCCGGGAGCCCCGGGAGCCCCGGCAGCCCCAGGAGCCCCGGGAGCCCCAGGAGCCCCGGCAGCCCCGGCAGCCCCAGGAGCCCCGGGAGCCCCAGGAGCTCCGGCAGCTCCGGCAGCCCCAGGAGCTCCGGCAGCCCCAGGAGCTCCGGCAGCCCCAGGAGCCCCGGGAGCCCCGGCAGCCCCAGGAGCTCCGGCAGCCCCAGGAGCCCCGGCAGCCCCAGGAGCCCCGGGAGCCCCGGCAGCTCCGGGAGCCCCGGGAGCCCCGGCCCGCACGGCCCTGGCAACAGCCGAGCGCCCGGGAATCGCCATCTCCATAATGAGCGCTGAATGGCATCCGTCAGTCCCTTTACAATCGGGCCCGGGCGTGTGCCTCCTCTCGGAGGAGGTTTGGCAGCCTATTCATTAGCGAGAGTCACCGGGAGTTCAGCCCGTGGAGGGAGCAGCCCCGCACGCTGGCGCTGGCAGGAGCGCGTTCTCCCGGGCAGGGCAGGGGAACCGAGCAAATAACGCTGGCAGCAGGTGCAAACGCTGAAATGCTGCCTATTGATTTTCTTTCTTCAGGCTTCCACGGGAAGTTTATAAGAAGATTTATCATGTATCAATCGTTCTCTATGAGCGTTAAACGCAAAATTCTTCCTTTCTTTCTCTTCCCTTTGTTGCCACCGTGCCCGCAGGAACTCACGTGCAATGAAGACGTGCTTTGCTTATTCCCTTCGAGGTCGACACCAGACCATCGTCTCCTGGCTTTAAGCACCGCTTTTATCTGATTTTTTTTTTTTTTTTTTTAAAGTAGTGTTTCAGAGTGGTTTTGTTAATGTACTGCAAGTCACAAATGGCACTTCAATATTAATTAGTAATGCTTTTCAATTCTAAATACCCTCACCTGCATTCTGTTGTCACTGGTGTTATTCTCCTGCTCCTAATTTCTAAATTCAGCTTGGCCTTTGCTCCCACCGAACAGCCTTGCAGAGCTCGAGTGCATTTCCCCATAACAGAAACACAATGAGGCGCTGAAAACTTTTGTTTTCGCTGAGGAAACGGAGAATGAGATGTCATCCTGGCTCCTGCGAGCCCTAATTCATAAAGTCATACGTGAGGCTCTCCAGCCCATTGTAGGTTTGTCCCAGGCGTTATCCCGTTATTGGAAGTGTATGATTCACCTTCTGAGCAGACAGAAGCTGCACACAAAAGGGGAAGATTTGCTTTCTCCGCTGTGAAAGGCTGCCGCAAGCAGGGGTCCTATTAAGACAGCTGGAAAGTTGCTTCAGCTTGTTACGCTTGTAAGTTTTATTGGTGACTGGTTTTTGATTACACATTTGAATGCTGTGTGTTCCAGGTTGCCGAGTTTTAATTAAAAGGCAATAGTCTCGATGTTAGCTCGCTTTGTTGCCTGCATTATTCAGGCCATAATGCATGCAAGTTGTGGGCTGGGTTCGTCCACTGTGCATCGTTTATTTGGGATACATAAGGTTGCACCTTCTAGCACCTGCCCTAAATATAACCGTCACGCTTTTGGAATTGGTTTATTGTGCTTAATTTTGTCTAAGAAATCCAGTGATCAAATGAATGGGGGGGGAGGGGGGGTGTATCCCTCTGTCCTGTAGGTTTTTTCCTCCAATCTAGGTACTTTTCTGGTCATTGGAACAGGAATATTGCATGCCAGGAGCTTCCCATAGTGCCGCAGCCTGTCTGTGACGGTGGCTTTTGATCTGGGGCTTCTGCTCCTGTGCTCAGCAGCTCCCAGGTCACAGCTTAGTCAGGAAGCTCAAAAGGTGTTACCCTGAATTTCCAGCCCTGAATCTATCTATCCCCTCTTTGTCGCCCCCATTCAGAGCCCTTGGGCAGTTCTGGGCCGGTTCCCTGCCCGTTCCAGCCCGGTCAGTGGATCTGGGGCTGCTGCTCGGGGATGCCGTGACAGCCTTGAGTTCTGCACACACCTTTCCTTAACGGGGCCTCACAGCTACGAGGAGAGAGCTCTGTACCTCGAAGCCATCATCCAGAACCACAAAGAAGTGATGACGTTTGAGGATTTTGCCGCTCAGGTCTTCTCTCCCTCTCCCAGCTACTCCCTCGGTGGAACTGGTGAGTCTCTGCACATTATTCTTCTCTGTAGCTCCAAGAAGCACTTGAGCAGCAGATGTACACCTGTTTTTTGTAGATAAATGCTTGCAAATTTAAGAAGACTATTCTTCCCCTGAATCAACTAATGAATATCAAAAGGAATGATGACATTCATTTTAATTTGTTTTGCATCAGAGCTATTCACACTGCTCCTTTCTTCAGCTATCCTGTTAACCCCCAACTCCGGCGAGGTTAATGAACTTTCTCGCAGTGATGGGCTCGGGCTCATTCAGGACTCTGGGTTCTTGCTGAGCCGGGAATATTGTGTTCAAAAGCGAGGCCTGAATCGGGGCTCACTTATCAGAAATAGTTCCTCGCAGGGGAAGCTGCTGCTAATGCTAAATGGGGATTATGCTGCTGAGCTACCAGGGTCAGGGATTAATGCACAAGAGCCGCAGGAACGGGGTGCTGTCAGGGACTCGCAGCGGCGCGCGGGATGCGGCGCGTCCCTTCGCTGCGGGCGAGCGCGCGGCAGGCTGCCCTGCAGCACCTGGCCCGCAGCCTCTGCGGGGCTTGTGGTGGGTGTGTGGGGGGTGTGTGTGTGTGTGTGCACACGTCGGTGCTCATCAGTCATCGGCCTGCCGAGAGCTGACACTGTGCCCAACTCTGGGAATTTATCCCCTGTGTGCCTTGTGGAGGGTTAGCTTAGCGTGCAGTCACAATCGCTGTCTGGCGGCTTTGGTGGAGTTTAAGTGAACCTCTCCTGAAAGGGAACTTTGGCTCTGAAATGCACATTTCTAGTGCCCTCAAAATGTGGTTTTTTCCAGCATCCAGAAAGTATCTGGTCACCGTGTGCTGGACTCTGTAACAAAGATTCCTTAATCCATCGTTGACACTCCTAGGGTGACACTGGCACTTTCTAACGATTCCCTGCTTCTCTTTTGGATTGCTGAATAGATTATTTCCAACCTGTATAAACGTTGCGGGACATCTGCTCTATTTCTCTTTAGCCCTACTTGTTAGCAGATATCTTCCATCTAAACTGAAACACTGAAGGAAGAAATTAAATTTGCTCACATAAATCACTTAGGAATAAAACCAGGCGTGCAGCATTGTCTGGCGTTGCTGGCTCCGATCCTGGCGTGCTCGGAGCTTTGTGAGGAGATAAGAGGCCCGTGCTGGCCGGGCAGTGGTGGCCAGGAGCAGCAGGCAGAAGGCTTTGGAGATAAGCGCTGGCAGGAGGGGGGAGGAAGCCGGGAGCATTTACATAATCGCGCCTCTGCGTCCTGGAGAGGCGTCAGGGAACACGGGATGGATCTATTGATCTCTGCTGAACTGGAATACTAAACAATGCTAGGAAAGCTTATAACTTAAAGCTTTGATTAATGTTTCCTACATTAAAAAGTAGAACAGCTGTGCATTAAATTCTTTTATACACTCTGCCAAAAGTCTGAGACAAAAAAATTGCCCATTTCAATAGCAGCGCGGCGCGTGCCCAGGGCTGGTTGTTAGCACTTGAATCGTTTATCTGCCGACATATCAGCAAGTAGGAATGTGGATCTAGAGATCTGTTTTAAACGCTTTGCTCTGTGCCTAGTTGTTTTCCATCTTCGCTTGTTCTTAGCACGCGGTGTTGTGTCAGATGTGGTTTGACAGGGCAGAGCCCCCGGCAGCCCCACTTTCGGAAGGATAAGCTGTGTATGCCGAACACATTTTAAGTGTTTCCCAGCAGCTGAGGATTTCAAAACACTGTTAAATCAGGAGTACCTGGGTATGATTTCATTATTTTAATTGCTTGCAAGTGCGAAGCCTCCCCCAGCCCGGTCCCAATTTTCAGACTTCTGAGCCTCAAGAATTAATTTCCCGCTCATGAACTGGAGGCTGGCCATGACTTCTGGTGTCACAATCTCCGCTTCAGAGAGTCTCTTCACGTTAGTTACCTGCTGATTCTCCTGCATATTTAGTGAGTGACGAGCAGGGGCAGTGTCAGCTGTGGCCATGGGGGGGATGTTTTCCATCAGATGCCCCTCAGCAGTGGGCAGGGAGGCTGCATGGAGCCCCGGCAGCTCCGCTGTTCCCCAGCCAGGCCTGCTCCAGACATGGATCCACCTGTCCACCCGCACCTGCAGGAGTCACCTGTCTGCCACTCAGCAATACAGGGGGCATTTCTCTCTTCTGAAACAGAAAAAAGGAGTCAGGGAGCAGTAAATAAAAAGAAGCACTTCTCCCTGAAGGAGTGGTCGGGCACCGGCACAGGCTGCCCAGGGAGGCACTGGTTCCCCGTATCTGGAAGTGTTCAGGATGCTTTAGGATCTGATCTTGTGGTGATGATGGTTGGTGCTGGATTGGCCATTGGACTTGCTGATCTCTTCCAGCCTTGATTCTGTGGGATGTATGGAGCTGGCACAGGTGGCAGTACAAGCCAGCTGGTTCTGCTGAGCATAAAGCGCTCAGGTAAATGTAAGATTAATTCTCATCTGATCTGGTTGTTATAATGCCCCTCAGGTGTGATCCTGTCAGTGCTGCGAACGCCTGTGTGCAGCAGAGAGGGTCAGGGAGTAAGGGTGCTGCTCATCACAGTGCAGCGTGTTCTCAGGGGTGATGTCTCCCACAGCGTGGGGAGGAATCAAACGCAGCTCTCGGTGTGACGCCTTACTGGGGTGTCGCTGGCTAGGAGATAATTATTGGAACTGGATGTTTTTGTGTTTTCCGATGCTGCCCCCGGGGATGCATCCCCAGACTCACGTGGGATGTGGTTTTCCTGCCCTGGCTTAGTCTCCCTGTCACCAGTCTTGCAGGTGCTGCGTTTTCTGGAGGAAAATTGTCCAGCTGATCTCCTTTGCTGTTTTGAGGAACAGAGCCTTAAACTCCCTGTATGGATCACAGATAGCCCCGATACCTTCAGCACTGAAAATGCAGCCTCACAGGCAGAATGGCCATCCCCAAACTCATTTAGGGGATGTGCAGATTAGGAACAAAAGCTGGGAATACGGCCCTTTGTTGTTAAACCGGTGCATTACATGCTGTATTTTAATTAGGCAGGGTTTGAGAGGCAGCCCAGGAAATCCTCCGTAATCCAACACTATTGAATTATTCTCATTCTTTCCCTCTGCAGATTTTTCTCCTTTTAGTGGATAGGCTTTAAGCTGCTGTTCTTGCTCCTTCAGCCAAAACCAGAAATAGTTACTCAACGAAATACTTGTGTGTTCTTTAAAATAATTGGTGAAGGTGAAGTGGGCAGAGCAGCGCCCCAGCTTCAACCGCCTCTGCGGCTCATGAGGGTTCCTTGGGGCTTTGGGCTCTTTCTGTGGCAGAGCAGCAGCAGAAGCACGGTGTTAACCTAGGGAAGTGGAAGGGGCTGCTGGATATTGCAGAACAAGTCTCCAGCCATAGCTTTCACAAGGATTCTGTCTGAGGGGTTTGTGTTTGCCGTGGCAGGTTCCTGCTTTCCAGGGAACCCCCTGGTGCAGCACTGCCGCCGGCGCCTCAGGGGTTAATGGGAACGGGCACACTTGACTGCTGAGAGGACTGATCTAATCACTGCCATATCCAAGTGCATCTGTTCACCATGAGGTCATTCTTGTGCATGCTAATGACTTGGAAAATAAAGCACAATGCTCAGCGTTATCAGGGAAGATGTAGTGTAAATCTTGGCTTTTTTAGTTGCTAATGGATAGCGTGGAGTGGGCAGAGAAAGCATCTCGGGTTCCTGTGCTCCAGCTTGACGTTTTTAAAGCATCCTTTTCAGTAGAGCATCAGAAAAACTGCTGGAAAACTTGGACATGTGGTATCTGTTGATAAATGGATTCTTTAATGAATATTATGGCATTGCCCAGGAGCAACACTTGAGTGGAGGAACTATTGAGGTTTTCAGCATTCCCTGGTTTTAAAGCCTCGGGAGCTGTGCCTGCTGATTTACATAAAACCGAGATTTTGCAACCTTTTTGTTGCAAAGGTGACACGTGCTTTTCTTTTGTGTCTGGACTTTTACATGCCCAAAGTTCTTGTAGAAAATATTTGAATGTACAGTGAGCAAGATAGGGTTTATTTTAAACCACTTTTTGTTCAGTGCTGGGCTTTATCTTTTCCACTCTAAAGCAAAAGGATTATTCGAACTGGACATGCAGATTTAAAATGCTTTTTGACAGAAACAAAACCAAACCCAGACTAATTATTGTTTTAAACAGGACTGATGCTTTCTGTAGCAGTAATTGAGCCAAGGATACCTTTTGTTTTGGTTTGATTTTTCTGGGGTTTTTATACTACTTTGGGGGTTTTGTCCTTTTGCCTTTTTCCTTGAAGCCCTGTAGGCTGTTCTGTCAGATCTGTGTCCGGGTTCTCTATAAATATATGTATTATTTTTGCCTGTTTTCCTGGGAATATTGAAAACATACACATCTGAAACTGAGTAACCGTGCCACTGTCTGGGAGCACAACATGCGGTGTGTGCCAAGGGTTGGGTTTGATCGGTGTGTCAGTGTCGCCTGAAACCGAACAATTTGTTTCTAATATATGGGATCTAGGAAATTCCCGACTGACCTGGTTACTCGTGGGACAGGGAATTGTTGTCTGCTGGGCACGGTGCTCAGCAGGTGAGGTGGACACTGTGCAGCCCTTGGTGCAGCTTGTCCAGGCAGTGAACAAAGAGGAAAAGCGGTGGGAAGTGGAGCAGAGGCACCAGGACAGTCACCACAGGAGGCAGGACTCAAGGGCTTTCTCTTCTCCCTCCTTCCCTGTGAGGACTATTCAGGATGAGGCACAAGGAGCTGTCTGGCTTCCCCTGTCCAACCCGGGTTGTTCCTCATCCTCGGCAGACTGGAGCCTGCCGCAGCTGGGCTGCCCTCGGGGAGTTCCTGCAGTGGCACCAGTGGATGCGGGAGCTGCTCCTTGCCTGTGTGCTCTCGGTTTTCGGTGCTCTGCCCATAGTTTTCCTGCCCTTTGGGCAGGGCTGCTGCCCACGTGTCCCTGTGAGGGTCAGGAATGGTCTGGCATTAGCAGGGCAGGGTCAGAGGTACCCCGAGGTGTTGGGGGCAGCAGCTCTGTGGCCGAACAGGCTGATGAAGGTGTCTGCCCAGGAGCCCAGGCCTGGCTCCAGAGGGTCCAGATCCCTGAGGAAGTGGCCACCTGCACAATGTGGTGCTGGGGCTGTCCCTTGGGCCACCACTGGGGGTGGACAGTCCAAACTTGTCCTCTGAGGCTGGGCAGGTGCTGGGACTGCTTCCCCCTCAAGGCCGGTGTTCCCCTTGGGATCCGCAGCCACATCAGGGCTCTCAGCCTGGCCGGCCCCCTGCCTTTCCCATGGAATTGGCTGGCTCAGAGGGCACTCCCAGCTCCGCTCTCCAGGAGAGGAGGTGGGGAGGGAGAGCAGTCCCAGCAATCGGTGTTGGCATGGGTGAAGATATGAGCTGGATGGGCTGTCTCCTCTGCCGGCTGACAGCTCCGGCTGCCCGAGCTGACGGAGAAAGCTCCAGGCACCGAGGCCCCTTTGCGTTTTCCCTCTGCACTTGAGGTGCCAGCAGAGAGCCGGAGCAGAGGCAGAGCAGAACCGGGCCAGAACCGCCCTGCAGCTGTGTGCAGAGGGCTTGGGCTGCCCTACCTGTGACACCCACATAACCCCCAGCGCCTGGTGGGGGGGTCCCTGGCTGAGGCTGAGCCTGGCAGAACTCAGCAGCAGCTGCTCCAACTTGTGAGTAATTAAACTTCAGTGTGTACATTTCAGGCTTATTTCTGAGGCCCTCAAACTGTGAAGGCCCTCAGTGGTGCCAGGCACTCCCATCTGAGCTGTGGGTGCTGTTCTAGGGTCAGTTCTGCCCTGGTTAACAGGTACTGTCAGAGTCTCTTTACTGTGTCACAGCTTTCCAGGCACTGCAGGATGTGATTAACCCAGCTTCAGTTATCTGTGGGTTCTTCCACGCAGGCTCAGGATGCTGCTTACGGTGGATTTGGAGTATGTATTTGGGAGCTGGAAACAAGAATGCTGTGCAGATTTACTACAACAATTCTATCTGGAATTTTATTACCTCTGCATTTTCTAGGAAGGAAAACAAAGATTTCCACAGACATGGATGAAAGGTTAAGGGGGGGCTGGAATAGGTCACAGCCCATGGGAAAACTTACTGGTTCTTCTCGAGTACCTGTCTTCAGGATCCTCACAGGTCATGGTCTTACCCACCCTTGCTGTCAGGGGTGTTCAGCTGCTTCACGAGCAGTGGCTAAAAGGCCATTCCCAGAGCACGTGCCCTGGGGAAGAAACCAGGTTTGTTCTGTGGACTGGATTTAAGATGCAATACACCATCTCTCTCTGGCTTCCTGCAAGGTAACCCTGCATTTAAAATGCTTTCATCTATATTTCGATTGTTTTTAGTCCCTCCTGCAAGAAATGTGTTTTAAAAGCTTAATGCTCTCTAAGCAGCCTCACCTGTGAGAGGCCCTCCAGGGTGTGTGTGTGTGTGGGTGTGTGTCTCATCTGAGTGCAGGTGTGTGTCTGCTCATGGACAGGTTTTATGCACTCAAGGACTTCCTTCCTCCTCTGGGAAATTTATGTGGCACCAGGATCACTATGCTGCTCACTTCCTGGAGTTTTAACCTGGCTATAGTGTCACAGAGGTTTAGGTCTCCCTGAAGCCTCAAATTTTAGCTGGTTTGAAATGGTGTGGCCGGCAACAGTGCTGGACGTGGAGCAGCTGCATGCCACCATTGCACAGCAGCAGGTTTGGCAGAAGATGAAGCGCCATGAATAATCATTCCAGCTTTTGCCAGCCTTCCCTCCCTTGTTTGTTTCAGTCCTCAGACCCCAGGAGGAAGTGCATGGGTCCGTCCGTGTGTCTGCAGGTCCCTGAGGGAAGCTCCCCTCCCGCCTCTAGCAGGGTGTGCTGTGTGGGGCTGGTGCAAGCGCAGCAGTCACAGGGTACAGCTCCTGCACTGACTGACTCGGTTTTGTTCCCCTCCTTTGGTCCTGTACTGACATGGTTTTGTTCTCTCCCTGTAGATTAGAGTGTTAATGCTCTCGCTACAGTAACGGCCGCAGGTAAGAGTGACGCTTCCCACTGGCCGCTCTGCTGCTGTGCTTCATCACTAACAGCTCTCCTTCCCCTCGTCCTCCCTCGCTGCCTCTGCTCCATCTTCAGCTCTGCCTCCTGTGCTCCATGTTTGCCTCACGCCTGCTCTGCCTCCCATGCTCCGCGTGTGCCTCGCGGCCCCCATACTCGGTGTGCAGCTCTGCCTCCGCTCTTCTGCCTCACACTCCTGCGCTCCTGCACACGTGCTTCTGCCTCTAGGGCACAGTTCTGCCTCCCACAAACACGGCACTAAAGGCTCCTGTGTGCACTAACACCTCCTGTGTGCAGTAACATCTCCTGTGTGCAGTAACACCTCCTGTGTGCACTAACATCTGTGTGCAGTAACATCTGTGTGCAGTAACACCTCCTGTGTGCACTAACATCTGTGTGCAGTAACATCTGTGTGCAGTAACATCTCCTGTGTGCACTAACATCTCCTGTGTGCAGTAACATCTGTGTGCAGTAACATCTCCTGTGTGCACTAACATCTCCTGTGTGCAGTAACATCT